TGTTGGTTCTAGGTGTTGGTTCTAGGTGTTGGTTTGAGTATTTTATTTGAAAGTAACCTTCAACCCAGCGTGTTTTTTTCGGAGTTCAAAATGGTTTTGTTACAGAAATGAAATTAGTTTTCTCTGTAGCACTTCACTGATTTTATTAATGCAATACTATAGTTTTTATACATAGCATGAATGTAAAAATGATATACGCTACGTGTTATCTTCATTTTAGATATCAGACGGGTTTTGTGGCTTCCGGTGTTTTCTGTGTAAAACGGGACAGTTACCGACCCCTGTTCTAGATGTTGGAACTAGGTGTTGGTTTTAGGTGTTGGTTCTAGATGTTGGTTCTGGATGTGCGGAGTTACAGGATGCTTCATGTTGTCTTCATACTTAACAACCTATAGGATTGTGGGAGTTTTATTTCTGGAAATACTTAACCCTTAAAATGGTTATGCAGGTTATTTGAGGGTGAAAATAAAATTAAAAACAATCTCAGGTCTAATAACAAATAAAATTCTTATGGTTTAGCCAAAATATTTTACAGAAGTTAGGTGGACAGGTAACAGCGTCTGAGGTGAGGTCACCTCAGACGATGCAGCAACACTGATGTCCGAAGTGACTCAGGCTGACCTGTGTGGAGGAATTACTGGCTTCTAGATGTAAACTCCTCCTTTTTTAATGTGTGCAGAAGAACCTCCGGGGATTTAGCATTAAAACAATTTAGTTGTTCTAAAGAGCCACAGTTTGGTTTTTCATTCTTGATTCTGACTTTCAGGTGATCAAACACAAATGAAAACAGAACTCTGAATGTCGCCGTGCTGAGTCCTGCACGTCCATAATCATCAAACATCTTCCTTTTGCCCACAGTAGAAGCTGTTTCCGGTCTCTCTAACTGAGGTGTTTTCCTTGTAATTAATCTTAAACACCACTGTGCAGAGGGTCTGCTGCACTCCATCCGTCTTCTATTATCGGAGGGGAACATGCCATTTGGTTGGTGTTTCTTTTAACCACTCAGAATAATGGGAGGAGCTAAGTGAAGGGTGCATCCTACAAAATAGTGACAGGGATCGTTTTGGTGAAACATTTGCAGCAGAGAGACCAGAACTGTGTTTAAAATGGAGAGATCAGTGAAAGCAGAGCTGCAGAATCCAAACCTTCAGTGAAGCACAGCAGGTTTATCCCCTCAGTCTGTAAATAACACTAACTCTGATGTGATATGAATGTAGCATCTGAAAGACAGCAACCTGCTGCCAACAACATTAGCATTGTGGCTGAGGTGGACTGTTGACTGAAGCCCTCTGCAGCCATTTTGTGTTAGATTTTGTCATCTGCTCTATATTTTGTTGTCTACCTGCTGAGTAAGTGAAACCATCCAGGACGTCCTGATGCAGCAGCTCCAGGATCGACTCTCTGAATGTCTGTGATCTGAACTTCCAGTGATCTTTGTACTCGCTGCCTTTTCTTGGTGCATCTAAACCCACGTGAAGCTGAAGCTGAACCTCCGTCCAGGCTTTGACGGCGGTGAAGCGACGGATCGACCTCTGCGTACGGGCGCTCTGGTTGAAGGCCTGCAGGGTCTCCGAGCGACATGCAGGCGGTTGATTGTACAAATTGGAGGAGTGCAAACTGTTCCAGACATTCAACATGAAGACACAATTAAAATGAGTCCTCTCCCACTCTTTCAAGAAGACTAAAAACTCAAATAAAGCTACTGTCAGAGTGGGGCTGATATTAAAAAGCGCTTCCTTTGGAAACAGAAGAAGACGAAACAAACAGATTGATGAAGAGCAGAGTGGAAGAATCCTGGAAGAACGACCTCTTATCAAACCACCAAAACTGTTTTACAGGACAAATCGTATCCAGAGTGACTCAGTCAGAGTCCTGATTTAAGTTTGGATCAGACTGCCGACATGTGGGAGGCAGTCTGGAAGTGGATGGAAAACATTCCCCTTCTGTTCATTGTGGCTTTAATGGAAAATGGGGAAGAAAACAAAGTGAGAGATTTCTAAGAAACCAGTTTAAGGTGCAAACCGCCGCCACACATCACCTCTGAGGCTTTCAGTCGAAGACTAGTTTCAGTAAAAGAGTTAGTCAGCAGCAGGACTTCAATGGTTCGTGTCCACAGGATCTGTCACTTCCACGTTTTCAATTCATTGTCTGTAAGCAGCTGTGCAAAGCATTCTGGGAGCGCCATGATGTGTTTGTGAAGTCCCGCTGCCCGCTCCTCGTTTGCATAAAGCTGAGGACTAGGTTACTTTATACAAATCAGGGCTGTCTGGCTGCCACTCGGCCTCTCTGGAAAAGCCAGAAAACGTTTACACTAACTGTAGTTGATCCATAATGAAGACAGGTTCAGCAGGTGAACTGTTTTCTTCATCTAAGTAAGAGGTTTGAAATTCAGAAGCAGACAGCTCATGAGTCAAACATTCATCCAATCAGGTGCAGTCAGTGCTTGTTGTGGGAGAGTGGAGCCTAGACAGACCCTCTGATCTACAGTAACACTGGCCAGGTGTACGCTCATCAGGTGTCACATGTTAGAAAGCAACTCTTTGCATTTAAAAACGCATCTGTGGACACGAACCAAAAGGCCAGGGGCATAGTCTGTCAGTAAGTCAGTAGGTCAATGACTCAGTCAGTCAGTGAGTCAGTAAGTCAATGACTCAGTCAGTTAGTTAGTTAGTAAGTCAGTCAGTCAGTCAGCGATTCAGTCAGCGAGTCATTAAGTCAATGACTCAGTGAGTCAGTCAGTCAGTGAGCTAGTGGGTGAATCAGTCAGCAACTCAGTCAATCAGTGAGTCAGTAAGTCAATGACTTAGTATGTCAGTGAGTCAGTTACTGAGTGAGTCAGTAAGTCAGTGAGTCAGCGACTCAGTAAGTCAATGAGTTGGTAAGTGAGTCAGTCAGTGTCTCAGTCAGTAAGTCAGCGACTCAGTCAGTCAGTGAGATATTACGTCAATGACTCAGTAAGTCAGTGAGTCAATCGGTGAGTGACTTAGTGAGTCAGTCAATCAGTCAGTGACTCAGTAAGTCAGTGAGTCAATCAGTGAGTGAGTCAGTCAGTGAGTCAGTCCATCAGTGAGTCAATCAGTCAGTCCTTAGGAGGACTTTAGTTCAGGAAGTAGGAGGACTTTAGGTCAGGAAGTGTCGGTCAGTAATATCAGAGTTTAAAGCTGTATAACAGACAAAACAATAAACTATCAAAGTAGAAAATAAACGGGTTATATTCGGGAAGCAATGTTTTGCTCAGAGTAACGTGTTGTTAAGCGTCGGTTTTAGTTCCAAACTACTCCCCCCCTCCCCACGGAGACTAGCGGGACACAACAGCTGCCTTTTGATTATATATACACACTTTTTATCGGTTTTTCCTTTTCATTTGTTTTTCCTAGAAAAAGACACTACCTCTCAGATGCAGTCCTTTACAGAGTCTCCAGACAGAATCAGTCCTTCAACTCTGCTTTGCTTCTATCTGAAAACAATGTAAAAATCTCCAGGAACAGCCCAGTCTCATTCCTCTTCCACACGGCACTGACTCCGCCTGTCAGGCTGCCGATCAGTCGGCTTGATTCCAACCGATCAGCTGACTCTCTCGCTGACGGCAGTCCGTGACTCTACGGTTTCCTCACGGCTGGGACAGGGGACGGCGGACTGGGGGACGATGTCTCTGAGCTCCCTGCCCTCACCTGCTGCCTCTGGCTCCGCCCGGAGTCTTGCCCTGCCATCCGCCCCAGGCACAAGTCCAGCTCCGACTGCTCCAGGAGGTGCGGGAGGCCTTGAGGTGCTGTTCGACCCTCCTCCTAAAACTTCCCTGCTCTCCGACGCCACAGCTGCCTCCCCTCTCCCCTCTGGCTTGACAACCTCCACGCCGATCTCTCGGCCTGGGAGCAGGCCTCCTCTGCCAGGCCGAGTGGTGCTCAGGTCCTGGGGCTGTTCACTCTGATTCTGCTGAGCAGGGACGAGGTTGGTCCTGGTTAGGCTGGAAGATGGTCGGTGGGGTAAGAGGTGCTGCACATGCGCCTGGCTGAGCTGAGGGTGGGACTGGGGGCGCAGCTGGGTCTGAATTCGCTGGAAGTGGGGCTGTGCTTGGGACTGGGATTGAGGAGGCCTCGACTGAGGGACAGACTGTCTGGGTTGTGGTCTGTACTGAGTCTGGAGTTGGTGTTGTGATGGGTGCCTTGTCTGTGGTTGGGACCGCGCTTGATGCCTGGGCTGCAAGTGGGGCTGAGGCTGGGGTGGGGTCCTCAACTGAGGCTGCAGTTGAGGCTGAGGTTGGGCAGAGGTTCTGGGCTGCAGTTGAGATTGAAGTTGGGCTGTGGATCTAGACTGGGAGTGACTCTGAACTTGTGTTGGGGTCCTGGCCTGGAACTGAGGTTGAGGTTGGGTCCTAGCTGAGGGTTGGAGCTGAGGCTGTAGGGTTTGCCGGGGCTGGGACTGCTGTTTTAGCTGGGTCTGGGAATGAGACTGGTGCCTGGGCTGTGGCTGGGGCTGAGACGGGTGCTTGGGTTGCGGTTGGGGCTGAGACGGGTGCCTGGGCTGCGGTTGGAGTGATGCAGGGGGCTGGGTTTGTGTTTGTGGATGTCTTGTCTGGGGGGGGTGAACATGCAGGACTGATGAGGGCTGGGGCGGAGCATGCTGGGCCTGGGGCTGGGGTCGATGCTGGGTTGGTGACTGAAGGGGTTGTGACGGGGTTTTCTGGTTGATGGGCTGAGGTTGACTATGAGCTGGAGGTGGGGGTTGTTGAGGCCGTGGTTGGGGCAGGACATGTCTGGTGGGAGAGGACTGGGGCACTGGGTGTCGAGGCTGGGCTGGGCCCTGACTGGAACTTGGGGATTGGTGGTGGGGTTGAGAGGTGGGATGCTGAGGTTCAGGGAGGGACTGTGGTCGAGGAGCTTGTGGCGGGGGGGCGGGCTGAGGTGGAGGCTCGACTTCAGGCCTGGAGGGTGGAGGAGGAGGTGGAGGGGGAGGAGGGGGCTGATGCAGCGTGGAGGCAGACGACTGTTGGTGGCGGTGATGGTGATGGTGGTGGTGGTGGTGGTGATGATGGTGGTGCTTATGAGGTGGTCGCTCCTTCCGTTTGTGGCTCTTTGATTGGCTGATGCTACTGCTGCTGCTGCTGCTACTCCTCGCCCCTCCTCCCCCTTCTCCTCCATCCTCTCCTCGGCCTCCTCCCTCACTGGTTGTTATTCCCGTTTTCTCCTTGTGCTTCCGCCCTTTATGTGTCTTGTGTCCGTGTGATTGGCCGTCGTCTGAAGCAGATGGCTGCCTCGCTGACTGTGATTCGCTCTGTTCAGAGGGGGCAGGCTGAGGCTCGGAGCTGGGACCTTCCTCCTCCTCTGCAGTAGCCCTCCTACCAGTCTCGGCTGTTGGAGCTGCTGGAGTCTGAGGACTCTCTCTCTCTTCCACAGTCTCCCTTGTTTTACGTTTTTTGATTGGCAGGGCGGTTTCCTGGACGATGGGTTTGCTGGAAGACTCCTTGACTGCTCTCCGTTTTGCCTCAGCAGCCAAAATGGCCGCTGCAGCATAGCTCCCTGTCGCTGAGCTTGCAGAGGCTGATGCAGAGGAGGTGGATGCCATGGGAACCGATGACACTGCTGAGGCCAGGGCCGATGCCGGTTTCCTGCCCCGTTTCTTGGGAGCAGTCTGTGGTGGGGGGGGCGGCTCCTGTTCTGACTTTCTCTTCCTGCCGGGACGAGACTTGGTCATGAGGGCAGGAGATACCACCTGCAGGGGAATCACCACATATAAATGTTTTACTGCATTTCCCAAGTTCAACAATAAGACCAGGCTGTGCGATAGATTAATAATACCTTTGAGGTGGTGGACGTGGAGCCAGTGGAGGACTCTGCCTTTCCGAACGGCATCTTGACCAGCAGTTTTCCTGGAGTTTTCTCAACCACACGCTTCATGGCCACGCCCTCTGTAGCCTGCCGCATCTTCCCACTACCTATATAAACACACAGAGAGATAAACACATACGCAACAAATGCAATCCATTCTGCCATTTTATTGCGCTTATCTGGGGTCAAGTCATCCCATCCCAACAATATTTTCCAGTTCCTCTAGAGGTGTTCCAGGCAGATGAGATATGCAATCCCTGCAGACAGATGTTGAACCACTTCAGCAACTCCACTCTAAGTTTGTCACCCTATGTCTAACGCTGAGTTCAACAACTGGGGAAATTCATTTTGGCCACTTGTATCAAATTTGTTCAGTCACTACCCAGAGCTCATGACCACCGGTGAGGGATGGAGTATAGATCAACTCATAAACTGAGAGCTTCACCTTCTGGTTCAGTACTATATCCGCATTACTGCCTAAGTTACACCGATCCAGCTGGCCATCTCAAGCTCCATTTTTCCGTCAGTTGTGAGCAAGATAAACTTCTTGGCTTGAGGCAGCAACTCAACTCCAACCAAGAGGAAGCAATCCACTGTTTTTAAGCAAAGAACCATGGCCTCACACTAGGATGTGCCAACTCCTTTCTCATCCCAGTGTTTAGGGTCTTATGAAGCCAACAGAACCACAGCATCTGCAAAAAGCAGAGACTCTGTGGTTCCCAAACTGGACACCCTCCTTATACCGGCTGCCCCTTAAGATGCGGCCATGAACGTCACAAACAGGATGGGAGAAAAGGGGGAACCCTGGTGTAGTCCAACACCCATTGGAAACGTGTTTGACTTTCTGCTGAGAATTTGCTCTACACAAGGAACAGATGGCTTGGAGCCCTGGTACCCCATAGGCCTGCAGTACCCCCACAGGGTCCCTCAAGGAACATGGTCATAAGCTCTCTCCAAGTCTACAAAGCACACGTGGCTCGTCAAACTCCCATGAGCCCCTGACTGAATTATTGCTCCTCCTGAATCTGACAGCCAGTCAAAGTCTCCATTCCAGTACTCTGGAATAAACTTTCCTGGGAAGGTTTAGCTGTGTCATACCCCGGTAGTTGTATCACATGTCTCTATTTGTTTTCTTGTGTTATGTGTGTTCTAACACAATGAGCTCAAAGCCAGATAAACACTACAAAGAACCACAAACATTAAAGATCAGCTGACTTCAGTACTGTAGTTCAGTACCTTTGGGGCGCCCACGGCCTCGTCCTGACGGCTTCACCACTTTCGGTTTCTTTGGGGGACGCTTCTCACGGCGTGAGGGGCTTCCTCGCCCAGTGACAGTGAAATCGAAATCATTGGGGTCGGTGGTGGTGTCACCGACCTTCTGGAAGTAGGCAATGAGCTCCACCTTGGAGCGAAATGCCTTCCCCTCCGAGCTAGACAGCAAGAAATCCAGACAACATATTCAGAGATATTACTGCATGTATTAACTGACACACTTGCAGGGTAGGCGGGCTTACTTGATCAGGTAGACATCAAACTTCCCAGCGGAGCGTCCGGACTTCCTCTGTTTCAGTTTGCGGGTCCAGCCTTCGGGCAATGAAGGGTCGTCATAGAGCGGCCCACGGTCCCGAATAATAGAGCGCCGCTGCCGGGGAGAGCCAGCAGACTCACTGCCAGCGGCTGATTCTGAGCCCAGTTCTGATGGGCCCGGCTCCGAGGGGCCAGCCACTGGCTCCAACATCTGTGGGACGGGGTGGTATGAATACATCACACAGGATGATGTCATGTTGTCTGGCAGGTGATAAACTCCACCCCCCTCTGTACCTGGGTATGTGACTCTGCCCCCGTCTCTGGCTGCCCAATTGTTGAAGGCGTGGCAGAGGCTGCAGTCTCCGCTCCCCGGTGGGCATGGCGACGCTCTCTACGGGCCTTCTTGGTCTTACTGTGGGACCTTTCTCTCTCTCTGGGGGGGTGCTGGGGGTCAGCAGGTCCCTCCTCGCTCTCCTGCCCCTCCTCCCTGTGGAAAAAAGATGACATCATGCTTTTTAATATGACATCATGATGACATCAGGTGGTAGAATCTGGGTGTATAGGCCACGAATGAATGAAACCCCCTAACCCTATCTATCTATCTATCTATCTATCTGACAAACCTACCTCTATAGCAACTTATTTATCCGTCTGAAACTTGTAACTGCAGTTTTTGGTTTCCAAATTTAAAAAAAGTGATCGCCAGAAACCAAAAACCAGCGGTTGAGTTTATGTTTTCAGTCCGTCACGTGAAACGTTTTTTCCTTTTAGGCTTAGAAACAAAGAACAGAAGTAGTTTTTTTGTTTTTGCCAGATTATCTGATGAAACCCAGATCACAAACGCTCACCTCAGTTTGTCTTGTTTTGTCCAAACAGACGTCCAGCATAATGTGTAACAGGAAGAGGAACTCTGAAACTGTCAGAGGCTGTTTTTCTAATGTCGGACAGATGGAAAAAATAAAAAACTGAATGTGCTCTGATGAGAATGAACCAATAGCAGAGGATGGACGAAGCTGTTCTCATCAATCAGAAACAGAATCATTACAGTATATTGGTTGTTCCAGTTCAGACAGAACTCAGACCTACAAGGACTGAATTAAAATGTGAAAATCACATTTAGACTGAACTAAATATTTTGCCAAAACTTTGGATCAGTCATTCAGAAACTGGTCAGATTACGTGAAGTTCATCGATTCAGCTTTGAAAACAACCGGTTCAGGACGTACATGAAGTTCAGAGTTGGCTCCATGTGATTCCTGATATTTTTCTGACAGAAAAGTTTCTGTCTGATTGTCTGAAAGCTGCTGTGTGCTCCACCTCTTTGTTTTAAATAAAGTTTGCAAGGTTTTAATCGTATGTGTTTCAAGCTGTTTTTAGAGATAGATGTATGTATGGGAATGAGTTTGAGTGTTTTGTGTGTTTTCTTCATTCTTCTAGTTCTAAATGCTGAAAGCAGGAACACAGTGAGAAACTAGTTTGTTGAACTTAAAATTTTAATTTAAAAGCCCAACACGGTTCACAGTTGATTCATACATTATGAAGGTTGGTATGTTCAGAAGTTCCAGGTAACCTTTTGAGGAAAACCTGGTTAATAACACACCACAACATCAGCACATGTGGTTATTAATACATACCTGTGTATTATCATACCAAAACAATAAAAACATGGATATTGTCACAACAAAAAAAGATTCTTAAAAACTGGATATTAACCCACTAAAACATTTATAAACAAGGGGAAAAAAGCACCTAGATATGAACTATGGATCGACCAATTATCGGCTCAACCATTACTGACGCTGATATTTAGCGTATTTAGACTACTGGCATTGTTATTTTCATGGAGTGATTCTAAGTAAAATGTCCTCCTTAGGCTCTGACCAGCCTCCTCTCTGTGGTCTCTGTCAGGTCCCACCCACAGCTCTCTCTGATTGGTTGCATGTCATGAGTAACAGCCAATCAATGAAGGCTATTGTTTACACAGAGAGACAGACGAGCACATTAGTGGAGCAGCTCCATGAATTAGCAGAAACTGCTGAAGGTTTAATAAACACGGCAGTGTTGCACAATAAATTGTGCAGCTGAAGCTCTCTCTCACTATAACAAAACCACCTCGGCCTCCCACCTCCACCTGCCACTAACGTGCCACCGAGACTCAAAGTGGGGCCTCACGTTTCCCCAGTACTCAGCCTCAACCGCGGTTCCTCACAGGGGTGTGTGCTGAGGCCCTGCTGTACACTCATGACTGCACCCCACCCACCCGACAACTCCATCATGAAGTCCGTGGACGACAGGACGGTGGTTGAGCTCATCACAGGGGTAGATGGGTCTGCACACAGAGGTGAGGAGGAGAAACGGTCACCACGGTGCAGCAAAACCAACCTGGTTCTCAACACCACAAAACTAAGGACATAATAGTGGACTTCAGGAGAAACAGGTCTGACCCTCGGCCCACATGCATCATGGGGACTTTGTCGAGAGGGTCTCTGGTTTCAAGTTTCTTGGTGTGCACCTGAATGACAACCTAACCTGGACAACCAGCACCACTGTGCTGATCAAGAAGGCACAGCAGTGACTCCCCTTCCTGAGGGTCCTGGGAAACAAAGCCCTAACCAAAGAGCTGCTGGTGACCGTCTACAGATGCTCTGTTGAAAGTGTCCTGGCGGCTGCATCCCAGTTCGGTTTGCCAGCTGCACTGCTCAGAAAGAGACAGCGCTCCAGAGGTTTATTAGCCCAGCGCAGAAGATCATGGGCTGTGCTCTCCTCTCGTCATGAGCTGTACAGGTCCCACTGCCACAGGAAGCAGAATCCTGCAGGACTCGTGCCATCCAGCAGGCCACTGTTCCAGCTGTTCCCTGAGGGAGGCGGTAGAGGGCAACGACAGCAACAACAAACAGACTAGAAAACAGCACATATGCCAGAGCTGTTGCAATACTAAATACACACTGAACTGCACACTTCATTTATTCATGTATCCAGTTATTTTTTGCTGCTAATTGTAAATGTTCATGTGTTTATATCTATTTATTAGGAGTTTATTTTTTACACATCTCTGTTTTTATAAACCTCTCGATTATCTTTGCACAGTTTTGTTAGTTTAGAATTGCTTTTTTGCACTGAATAGGATTGCACCTAACTTCATTGTACTTTCTGTGTATTGACATCAAAGATTCTGATTCTTTGCTGACAGTGCTAGGCTAATGCTAACACCTGTGGCTATCTGTAGCACCGTCACATGTTCCTAAAGTCAGATGAACTGACTAACAGACTCGTCGCTCTGCAGAGACACAACCTGCAAAAACTGACCAAGAATCACAAATATCAGAAATCAGGACATTAACTGCTTTCAAAGCAGCTAATGCTACGCTAACGGCTAGCAGCTAAGTCAGGAGGCAGCCACAGAATAACCAAACAATAACTAATAGAGCATTAAGATCTGGAGCTTAGTGGGACATTATAGAGACAGAGCAGAGAAAGAAACAGAAGACCTGCAGACAGACCTGCAGGAGACCAACTGGTATTGATCTCAACCGATCGACCGATCAGTAAACAGGAGAACGTTATAGAGTCACATGATGCTCTGATGTCATCACTCCTGTTTCTGCTGCACATATTCATTAATGGTGATTATTATTAATGAAGTGGACGAGTTCTGCGTCACCGCTTCCTGCATCACACGGCGGTAATAAATTACTTTTAATGTGTATCAGGTATCGATCATCACCGTTCTCCCTCACCGATGATCAACATCCACTGTTACGTTCCAGGCTCTACGGTCAGCTGGATTAACAAAAACCAGGTGGACTTGCTCAGTTATGAAAAAGCGCTGAACGGCTGCTCCTCAAAAAAAAAAAAAGGATCAGTATCACGTTATAACGAGATACGTCTTTATCACGAGGAGTGGCAGTTCAGCACTTCTGTACTCAGTAATGTAATGAACACAAATAAAACTGGCTCATGGGTGCTGCTAAATCAAAGAAACAAATAAAACCAAACAACTGCTAACAGAAGTACAAAAGCTAGTTCAAACAAAACAACAACATTCTTTGGCCAAACTTAAATACAACAAAAACACCCATAACCAACAAAAAGAAACTGAAACAAGTGCCTTGAAACAGACATTACAAGAACCACAAGACATGAGGAACTCCTGAGCTCAGCTGGGCAGCTGCTAACTGGAGCTACAGTCTTCACCAAGACCCGGCTAACTCCCACACTGAGCTAGCAGCTGCCACCAGGAGTTACGGTTGAAACACAGAAACACCAAGACAGCAAACAAGAGGCACCAGGGCAAACTGTTCACGTTAAAGCCCAGGCTCCCCAGTGGAGGGAACTGGGTGGTGGTCCAATCAGGAACGCCAGGCGGAGAGAACAAGGGCTGAGAGCAAGTGCTTCAGACCTGGAGCTCCAGGCTAATGAGCTGGGGCTGGAGCAGGCTCTCCAGACAGCTACAGCAGGGTTCAGCCCACTCCTCTCCCTATACGGTCAACACAGTGGATCCACTACCACTCTAGACGGCACCAACACCAGGGCCGCACCATCCGCCCTAGAAAAAGTAGTCAAACCCAAACATTAACCCACCACAAAGTGTCAAAAACCCAGATATTACTGCAACAAAACACAACGAGTCTCGATATTAGAGCTCCAAGGTGTCACAAAATTAATATTAATGCGTCCAAACAGCACAAACCTGCACATCAACGCACCATAAACCAGTAACCAGCAGATCCACAATGGTTCACACTCCAGCACACCTGTGATCAGGTGTTACCTTCACTGACAGGCTCACGACGACCTGATGTGACCTCAGCTGGGCCCGAACTCATCAAGGCATTTCTGTTCCGTCAACTGGCAGATTTTCATTCTCATATTTAGCAGAATGTCTGGTTTGTTTGAAGCACCAAAAATTTCTGGGATTCAATTTGAGTAAGAACAGCTAAGAAGTAAATGAAAGCAGACAATGAGCTCCTGAACTTGTTGTGTTCCACTGAACTGACCATCATCTGATGTCAGGTCAGTCAACGCTGCAGGCTAGCTATGCTAATGTTCTGTTAGTGCAGAACAAGGACAAGGAAGCTGTTCTGGTGGAACGTTTGCAGCAGAGACGTGATTTACTAGAAGAAACAGCTTCACTGCATGATCCAAACCTAACGCCAAACATCCACATTCAGCGAGTCGGCTGCTGCTTGGAGCTCGTTGTTGTGATGAGCAGCTGGTGGTAGGACGGTACCTGCAGCCTGCATCAGGTGAGTCAGCCATGACGACTGCATGGAGCTCCAGGTGAGGTTCAGACCGAGGTGCCGAACCTCCAGGTGTTGGAACTGAAGGCTGAGTAGATGTTTGGTGGAAACGCAGGTTCTGATTGGTTCTCCTTCACAAGAAGACCTGCAGCGCCTCAGACGTTAAGCGTCAGAGGCTGGCAGGTCGTTTGGAGGTGGAACAGCACCAGACATCACGGGTCACTACGGCTTCGCACGGCAAAGACAAGATGGACACACAAACAAAAGCTTCTTCTGTCTGTCTGTCTGTCTGTCTGTCTTCTGTTCTAAACACGGAACAGACTGTTTCCTTCAAAAAGAAGCCACATTTACAGGTTAAGGTACCGTCCGCTAACTGTCGGCAGCGTGTCGGCGGGGGCGGCGTGTCGGCGGCAGCGTGTCGCCGGCAACGTGTCGCCGGCAACGTGTCGTTGGTAACAAGTCGCCGGCAACGTGTCGCCAACGTGTCCACCGATCGGTCAGATCTGTGGTGTTTGTCGTGAAGAGCTAACGGGGCTCCGTCCCTTCATGTCCACTGCTGGAAACACGTTGATGGAGTTGGTCGTCACCCAAGAACGTTCAGATGAAGCTCCACATGTGCAGCTGCTGCATTCATTCAGTGAACATGAACCAAACCTGGAGCTCCAGCAGTTGTTTGGTAGAAATACACGGCCTGTTCTCTCTAGCTGGTTCTGTAGCGTCCCACAGTCAGACGGTTCTGGATCCGACTGTAGAACAGTCAGACTGCCTCGTCTACAGCTACAGGAGGAACGTCAACAACCGTCAGATGACCAGTAAAGATCAGAGTCTGGTAACTCCAGGTCCTTCAGCACAGCGTCTGAGCCTCGCTGCTCAAACTCGTAATCTCTTTTCCTTCTGGACTAATAAGTGGAGACCTCCGTCCTCCTCTGACCACAAACTGGACATGTTCAGACACAACAAGACATCAGACCACACCTGGGCCATCGACTGCTGCTGATCAATCAACAGAATAACCAATTAGTCTGTTAATCTGGATATAATTAATACCAATAATCTGGATTAACTGAATAACGTTCCTGTGAGCTGACAGTGAGGCTTAATGTTAGGTTTTTGAAATCTGGCTGATAACTTTGGGTTAGAGTTAGAGATAGGGTCAGGGGTTGGGCTGTTCATGCTCCTACCGTCCACGTTATTCTATTGACCTGATTTAACTCTGAAACACGTAAACACACACAGACATACACCTGGTGTAACACACAGGGACACACACCTGTGTCCCTGTGTGTTATTGTGTTGTTGTGTTGAAGCTGCAGGTGAAGCTGTCACCACAGGAAAAGGAAGTGAGCAAGCGCGCGCGCGCGCGCACACACACACACACACAGAGTTGTGGCTCAGCGGCACTCCGGCAGCGAGATGCTAACAGGCTAATGATCAGTTTAAACTGTAGCAGTGTGTGTGTGTGTGTCTTTGTGTGTGCAGTGTGCGTGTGTGCGCGCGCGCGTGTGTGTGCTGCCCCCCTCACATATAAACAGTGTGTTTGCTAACAGCTAGCAGCCCGTTAGCTCCGTGCCTGTGTGACGGAGACGGGTGGAAGCGCCGCCGCTGACCGGGGCAGGGGCGCCTGTGACGGACACCGCCGGCCTGACTTCCCGGGGAGTTGTGTCGAAGTCGGGGCGGCCCGGCGGCGCTCACACGGCGGGCTAAGCTAAGGCTAAGCTCCGCTCCGGCTACAGCGGTAGCTCAAGTCCACTCTGAGCCGTAAGTTGGTGACGTATTCCCGCTAACCCCGCTCCGCGGAGACGGCCCGGGGTGGAAATCAGCGCACTTCGGCTTCGATAAAACACACGACCGTAACGGCTGCGCGGCGGCGGAGCGGCGGCACGGCGGCGCGGGGACGGAGGATAGAAGGTAAAAAGCACTTACAGTCTCTGCTCTCCGCTCTCCACGGCGGCCATTTTTATTTAAATAAATAATTTTATATTAAAAAAAAAAAAAGCTCCAAACATCTCCGCTCCCTCCCGCTGCACCCCGCCCCCTCCGCTCCAAACACCGCGAGATCTGCGGCGCCGTCTGCTGAGCCACACGTAGGGGCGGTGTAGTCCCGCGAGATCAGGCGAGACGTTTAGGGCCCGCGCTCAAGTGTGTAAAAATAAAAAGGTAGGAGGCTGCTAATGAGCTTATTGATCACTGATCAATCCGATCAGACTGTGGAGCACCCAGAGGCTCATCGATACAGACTGAGAGCCTTAAAACCACCATCTAGTGGAGAAAGTACTATGAAGGGCACAAAATACATAAACAGACTTAAAAATACAAGACAGTACCAACATGATGATGTCTGTAGTGGTCACGGTGTGGAACATATTCACACATTTCAATTTACTTTATTCACATTTGACATTTTTTAGCTTATACATGTCACATGTCTTTATTTTATTTACACATAAATATAATTTAGGAGTACATTTGAAGATATTTTAGTTTATACGATGCACAGTTTACACTTTGTGTGTTTAAAACACAGACCTCTGTATATAAATAGAGTTCAGAACTTCACATGATGCAGTAATACTGCAGACTGACAGCTTTATGATCAGCGTTACTGAAGCAACATATGATCAAATAAACACATCAGCAAAGCAAACCTGGAGCTTCTGTTTTATTTTCCAAACTGTTTCCACATTTCTGAAATTAACTAAAATATTAATAATTTACAAAAACAGTTGAGAAGCCTGTATGTCAAATGTAAGATAACTTCAGAAACCTGTAGCTGAGGTATTAACTGAAAGTCTGTGTGTATTGTATTTATTAGAAACTAAATGAGACATAACAGGAAAAACAAAAGCCGTGATAGTTTTCAGGTCATCCTGGAGACTCTGCACTTGCTGTCACTAACTGATCACACTGTAAATGTTCATCTGGATAAATGAGGTCACTGCTGGTGTCTTTATTTGTCCTCCAAAACATGACTGTTATTTTCAACCGTCAGCATGGCTTCATGCTTTATTAACATTTTTTGCCATGAATCAGGAAAAACTTTTCAAAATAACTGTTTCTTTGCAAAATCTAAAATGTCTGTCCATGTTTTTTCTGCTTTGACGTGCATTAAATGTAAGTCCTGTGACGTTCTGATGTGCTGATGTTGAGGTTTTTGATGCTTGTGTATGTCAGTGTTCAGCTTTCAGACATTAATCTGACCCTTTGTGCTGCCGGTCATGTGATTACTTCCAGGATTGGATTGAACATGACACACCACACAGAGCATGAAGCAGTCCTCAGCAGACCGACCACACCGGACCGAACAACCTGCACACCCATGTGTTTATTTTCAGGATGATGTTCGAGCAACAGAAAGGCAGAGCTGTTGGATCTGACGTCTGAACCAGGAAGCAGGTTCAACAAATCCAGGCTTTCTTTGAGTTAGCCGGCTCTGCTAAACCTAAACTCCAGTCAGAGACATCTGCAGGTGTTTATCAGCGTTCTCTGTTAATCAGACTTTCTTCTTCAGACTCTCATTAAAGGAGGCATTCAACGCGTCAGGTGACTCTCCTGCAGTGAACGGACCAATCAGGTTCCTCCTGCTTCAGCCAGCAGCTTGTTCT